GTCTTTTATTTTAGAATTACCTATTTTAATTTTATTTATTCATTCATTTTTAATTTTAATTTGATCAGAGAGAGATACAGAGAGAGAGAGAGAGAGAGAGAAAGAGAGAAAGAAAAAGTGAGAAATCAAGCTACCAGGTCTAGAACCCTAACTGTGGTTGGCCGTGTGGGAGTGTCTAGCATCTTAACCACCATGTCACCTGCTGGTCCCCATACACAATGGTCTTTAGAAACGGAGACCTGTGGATGGCATAATGGTTACACCGCTGGACCCGCCACGTAGTTGACCACAGTTCAAGTTCCAGACCTAGAGGCTTAACACTCATGCCAGAGGCTTAAAACTCATGCGTATGCTCCAAATCCTGAGAGGAGAATGGGGGGTGATTTCTAGTTTTCTGTCTCTCTCTGGTGAGCGTACATAACCTATAACAAAAATCTCTCTCTCTAAAACAAACAAACCAACCCATGTATACGGTGTGTAATAAAAAAATTGAGGGAAGTCCAGTAATCTTGGTATGATGTAAAGATCACAAGAAGGCCTGGTGATTAGATTCAGTGATCTGATCCCCATTTGGTGAGCGTGTGTTGCCACCTTTACTCAGAGGTGTGAAGGATGGCCTTGCTGAAGCATTTTCTAGAGCACAGTAAGACCCTCTTGGAAAGTCCTCTCTACATTTAAGTAAAGGGTAGGGACTTCACCCTATGTGACTGTAAAATTATTTGATGAAGAAAAGTATGGGGGATAAAACTGAGGTGTAGAAAAGAAGGGAAAACCCAAACTAGTCAAAGCATCGCCTACTCAGCAGACCAGGACACTGTCTTGTGTGTTCAAGGAACCAAGAATGGGGTGTTACCCCGGGAGAGAGCCCTCCAGGCTGCTCGGCCCAGTGTGGGCAAGGCTGGGCCGCATTGTTTTCGATGCCCTAGATAAACAGGGCCCCTTGTGTTCTGGCTCCTGTTTTCACTGGGGCTGTGAAAACATTACAGACTCCAACAATGAGCACTCTGCTGAGAATGTGAGGTCATAGTATGTGACCTCACAGGGAGCTGGGTTCTCCACAGCCTCTCGGGCTGTAGGCAGGAGTTGGGGGAGCAGGGGCTCTCTGGGTTTGCAAGAGGAAGTATGGCCCAGGTGTACTGCAGGGGGCGCGATGGGCTCTTCTTGGTGTCCATGTTATTGCTGGTGAGTTGTATTCTGTCCTGTTGCTGGGCTTTCTGCCTTACGAGGTGCGGCGTCTGTTTCTTTCCAAGTAATCTCATAAATCGTGCCATGGGGTAGAATGAAGCTATCTAGGAATGGAGTTGTTTATCCTCATTTTGTTTCTTGATTGCTTTATTGTTACTAAGCTAGTGTCTGCAGGACATATTTTACATTTCTACTAGTCACGGGAGAAAACACAAAGTGACCATTGCTACTCTTTAAAAGACGTTTCTGCTGTGAGTTTCTTCATTGGTATCCCATAGGTAGGAATTGTTTAGTATTCGGATAGGATATATTTCACAAAACTGATGACGTTAACTCAGTCATGGAAGGTTTAGGATATAAAATAAATGCATTTTCATGAGGATTTCACCATAATAAATTTAACTGGTATGTCTTTTCTGTTGGAAGACTGTTTAATTAAGGTGGCTTACCATAGTTCAAGTAGGGCCACCAGACGTTTCGGCGTGCCTAGATCAATTCCAGTTTAAGTCTCTAGTTCAGGTGTGGGCATTGCCTGTAGTTTAGCATCTAACTTTCTAGACTTCTTAAGTTTTTTTTTTTCTTTCTTGAGAAAGGGAGAAAGGGGAGGAATGGAGTCAGGAACTTTTGACAGGTCTTACGATGCTGACCCTCCCCTTCCCCCTTACTCCACCCAGGTGTGCCCAGTCAACCCAGAATTTGAACCTGGAACTTCCTGTGTGATTTCAGTGTCGCACAGTGGCACGAGTTATTAGACTTTTAGACCACAAAGTCTTAACATGTATGGTTGCAGTAAAGTAGGCCAGCATGGGCTTGCTGGGCCCCACTCTGTACTCCCAGCTTCTTGCGTGGTTTCATCCGGGAGTGTGTGAGTTGACATACGCGTTGAGCAGAGTAGTCATGTATGGATGCTGGGTTTAGAAGACAATTGAAGGAAATCTGTCTCTCTCTCTTCCCTACTCTTGCAGTTCCCTTTAAGGGCAGCCCGCAAGGTACTTCCTGCTAGTGTGTTTGAAGAGGAGTTGCTCGGACAAGGAGCCACTTCAAGTCTGGGGGTAGGGTTGGGAAATGCCATTCTACAGTGCATTCTGAGTGACTGTGACACTGCCAGACCCCCTCCCCTCCACTGGTGGGTCAGTGGAAACAGATCTTATAACTTGGGTAGAATAAGCAACAAGACAGAGGTCAAACAGTTCTGCTTAAAGATGTATTTGTTCTTGCTCCAATGGTTTCTGTCAGTTATTACATGGAGTGAGTTTATAACTTAAGACTTTTTTTTAAGTTCAGATCTTTTAATTAATGAAAACATAACACCTTTGAGTTACAACTCAAATACCATGACATTTACCATTTTGAACTACTAAATTGAATGGTTTTAATGTAGTAGCAGAGTTGCTTGACTCTCACCTTTATCTGTCTTTTAAGGATATTTTTATTACCCCAAAGAGAAACTCTGTACCCATAAGCATTACTGTTTCTTTATTGATAATGATTTTTTTTTTTTTTACTTTGCAACAATTATAATGACATATTTAATGGTTTTATCATCACGGTTCACCATTCAGAGTGTCCTAGTTTGGATAGTCAATGGTTGCTTTACTTGTAATGCGGGCCAGGTGTAAGAACTCTGGGGTAGAGCAAGGACGTGCCAACCACCATTCAGGGGCCCAGTCTAGCCTGTCTTGGATTGGCATGCATGTTTGCAAAGGGTGTAGCATGTGTGACAGGGAGCTTGTGTGGCCCAGAAGCCTAATAGTTAACCGTGTAGTCTGTTATGGAAAAATTTTGGTGGTTCTGGTTTAGAGTCTGTAGTAAGTGTGTGGACCAGAAAGTTTGAGAATTGCTCATTTAGTGTTTAGGAAATTTGTTGTTTAGTCCTTTGAAATATAGTAAAGATTTTTCTGACTATGAAAGCATAAAATGACCACGTGTCAACAGCTGTCACTGAGTAAGGCCTACCGTACCATGAAACTTCATCAGGTATGGCATTTTTATCACAAACATGCCTTTGTCACCACATTAGGAGGAGGATTTGGAAATTAATATATCCTTCTTGCTTTTCGTGTTATAAATGCTCTTGCTAACACTTGCCAGCGGGCCACCGTCTGTCTCACACGACCCTTGCCTAGAGCAGGTCGTCTTTGGCCTGGAGCTTCCTCCTTCAGTAGGTTTGTGAGGTCAGTTGTGATGTGAGATTCTGCAACATTCTTTGGCTTTGTCACCCTGTGGAGATTGCACTGTCCAAAATCAACCCCCAAATCAACCATGGAGCCCTTCGCAGAGATCAAGGGAGTGGCATCAGACTGACAGAGTGGTGGCCGTGTGCCTCACTGCCACGGGCTCTGTATAAAGAAGGCCAGTTTCACCTGAAAATGTCCTTCACGAACTCAGTGCAGATTCATCTGATTGCATTTCCACACTTGGGGTCTTTTTAATTTCACGTGAGATGAACTGGAAGTAAACCGCCGATGCTGCTGATGTCCTGGGAAGAATGCTGAGGCATTTTAGTCGGGGCTATACGTTGTGACATTTTTCATAGAACGTCATTTTCTTCTTGAGAGAAGGACTCACACACTGTGGAGATTGGCAGACGGTCTTGAACATGAGAAGAGTAAGCCTGCTAGGAGCACAAACTGACACAGCAGCCAGTGATTAAATCTGAACTTGATAAAATTTCAGTTGTAGAAAATGTCCATCTGCCATTGAAAGTCTGACAGCTTCCCATATTTAAAAGACTTTTCTGAAGATTCCTGTGGTGACATGAATGCATGTGACTTTTTATATCGTATAATGAAGTGTGTCAACAAATATTTCGCAAATGACCAATGAATGGTATTACAAAATCCTGCTTGGGTAAACGATCTATTCAAAGTGTAGGACAGATTTTCATGTAAGGACACCAAACAGTCACTGACATGAATTCACATTCTACATGGGAAATAACTTTTATGAAACTACTGCTTACCTTATTGATTGAATGGAGAAATGACTTTGAGAATCCAGCTGTTTTCTATTCATCTAACCCTTAAGTTTATTTGAAAAATTAAGTATTTAAAATTTATAAATAATGTAAATCACTGTTTCTTGTTTTACTATTAGGTTGTTGGAAGTTTTGCATAGAAAAGTCTGTCATGACTTTTCCAGTAATTTTTGCTGATTTGGGAAATATAGCTATTTTTATAATATATGAAATGGAATTATCTTTAAATTAGCAAATATTTAAAATTTTGTTTTAATTACTAAATTGATTAATATCAAGAAAATGAAGACTACATAAATGAAAGCTCTTTAGAGTCTTAGGTACTTTTTTTTTTTGGTAGGGTTTTTGCCATAGGGTGTGTGTGCTTGCTGGAGAAAGAGAAAGGTGGTGAGAGGGAAAGTGAGAAAGCACCCCCCCAGGAACTGTGTCCCTGCTGCAGTCCCCTCTTCTCCTGGGATTTTGGGCACACAACCCCACACATGCACCCAGCCCAAGTTTCAAGCTGCCAGGTCTGGGACTTGAACTACGGCTGGCCATGTGGGAGCCCAGCCCCTTAACCACTATGCCACCTGCTGGCCCCAGAGTCCTAAGTACTTTTAAAAATATATAAACATCCTAAGACCAGAAAGTTTGAGAATTGCTCATTTAGTGTTTAGGAAATTTGTTGTTTAGTCCTTTGAAATATAGTAAAGATTTTTCTGACTATGAAAGCATAAAATGACCACGTGTCAACAGCTGTCACTGCGTGAGGCCTACCGTACCATGAAACTTCATCAGGTATTACTTGTTGCTGTAGAAGCACAATCTTATGTTACTTTGTTCTTATCGATGCTTATAGCAATGTTGGGGTAAAGACAACACGACTAGACGATCATTCTGAAATGGGGAGCACTGAGATTCTGGAAAAGGAGGCCTCAGAAAGTCTCAGTAATGGTACCAGCAGCAACGTGGAAGCAGCCAAAAGGTTGGCCAAGCGCCTTTACCAACTCGACAGGTTCAAGAGGTCGGATGTCGCTAAGCACCTCGGCAAGAAGTACGTTCCCACCTGGTGCTGGTGTCTGAGTGTGTGTGCGTATGTGTGTGTGTGCGTGTGCACATGTGCATGTGTTTCAGTAGTTCTGATTTCAATAACCAAGTCCTATTCTGCTTTCTTACAGCAACGAATTTAGTAAACTCGTGGCAGAAGAGTATCTGAAGTTTTTTGATTTTACAGGAATGACGCTGGATCAGTCTCTCAGGTATGATTAAACATCACTGCTGTTCTCATTGCCTCCAAGTAATTCATTTTTAGCAGGGAATATAATTTTCTCTAGTCACAATCTGATTGTTTTTCACCCCAAGTTACTTCGTGAATTTAGTTCAGACTGTGTCGTAGATATTAAACGTAGCAGGGAGTGAGAAAGTCGTACTGTTTTTATGAAATGTCATAGGAGCTGGTCATCTGTGACTAGGGCAGTCCAGATGGCAGAGTAAAGAATGGTGACAAAGTGAGTCTGGCTGTTTGGATTAGAGTGTCACAGTGCCTTACCTGTGACTCTTTCTGTGAATTGGTACTCAGATTTTCTAATGCAACTAGGTAAGAGTGCAGAGAAGATCTTTTTTTAAGATTTGCATTCTGATATGGTTTATTTAAAAAGTCATAAATTAAAGTTTGATCATTGTAATTTAGATTAGCAGAAGACTTTAAGAATTATTTAATGTTTATTTATTGTTATTACTATTAGCAATACTTTAAAAATTTGCCACAGGGCACATGCATGTGAGAGAGAGAGAGAGAGAGAGAGAGAGAGAGAGAGAGAAAGCGAGCTGCCAGGTCTTGGACTTGAACTGCAGTAAGCCATGAAGGAGTCCAGCACCTTAACCAACATGCTATCTGCTCTGGCCCCAGACCTTAAATGGATAATAATGAAGAAGGCAGATTTTTCATAGAAATAAGGTCTGTTGTATGTTGCTTAGAATAGTAAAGTTTCTGGGAACATTTGAATGATTTTTTTTTCCTTTTCATCTTTTGTGTAGGAAAATGCATTTACACTGACGAGTGATGGTAGCTGGATTCGTCTAAAATAAATGATAGTCTTGGTGACGCTGGTTTAGCTTGGTGTGTGGTTCTTGACCTGTTTTCTGATTATTCCAAGATGCTTTATACACACATTAATTTCTTCCACAATTTAAGGAATGAATTAGCATTTTATCTCCTCCTTTCTTCCTCATACAATGAATTAGTGATGAAATGTGATAATTGATGAAATAAAATTAAGGGAAATCTGTGCAGAAGGCAGTATAATTATTATTTTTTCTTTTTTTTGGAGAGGTTTTTGCTATAGGGCATGTGCATTTGCCAGAAAGACTGAGACCGAGAGACAGAAAGCGAGAAATCACCCCCCAGGGGGATGACCATGCCACAATCCCTTCTCTTCCATTCTCCTCTCGGGATCTTGGGCACACACGCACACCCGCCTGCTGTGAGTTTAAGCCACCAGGTCCGGGACTCAAACTGCCCACGATTGACTACATGGGAGTTCAGCGACTTAGCCATTATGCTCACTGCTGGTCCCTAATTTTTTTTTTAACAGAGATTTTTTGTTATAGGGAACATGCACTTGTCAGAAAGACAGAGATGGAGAGACAGAAAGTGAGAGATCACCCCCCAGGGGGAATGGCCATGCCACAATACCCTCTCCTCCATTCTCCTCTCTAGATTTTGGGCATGCATGCATGAACATGCACCCTGTGTGAGTTTTAAGCTGCCAGGTCCAGGACTCGAACCACAGTCAACTATTTGGGAGTCCAGTGATGTAACTATTATACCATCTGCTGGTCCTTGTATGATTAATTTCTAAGAGCATGTTAACATTTTCTAAAATTTCACCTTTTTCCTCTTAATTCTCTTGCAGGTATTTCTTTAAAGCATTTTCTCTTGCGGGAGAAACTCAAGAACGAGAGAGAGTCTTAATACACTTCTCCAATAGATATTTTTATTGTAACCCCAATACCATTGCTTCACAAGGTAATCTGATGGAAGTCTTGGAATTTATTTTGTGTAACCATAGTGACTTTTCTTATTATTAAAGTTACATTCTATTGTGGAAAGTATAGAAGATGTGAATTACCTAAGATCTCTAAGTACAGAGAGATACCTACTACTAACACTGTGATTTACTTCCTGTCTATTTATGTAATATTTAATGTCAAAGTAGAATCAGCACAGTTTTCCAACTGTCTTTCCCTTTCATCATGAGCATTTTCTCCTGTCATTTAATAGTCTTTAAAAGCTTAATATTTAATGACAGCATGGTAGTCTGTGCTCTTCTTTAATTATTTTACCATGTTTCCCAGTTCTGTAATGTGACGGGTTGCTGTTTTTCTTTTTTTAATGCTCATGCTCAGTCACTCTGAGATTTCTGTGCAAAGCATATTGTAATAAGTGAAATTCCATTTTCCTTCTGGTTTCTTCATGTCTTGGTGAAGATGCATGTCTGCTGTGTCTTTGGTGCTTTTGTTTGATATTAGTTCTAGGGACCATTGACTTTCATTTATGATTTTGAAGGCCTATGAGTTTATTGTTCCTTGTACTGTTTTTACAAAGTAACTTTCCACTTTTTTGTTGTTGACCCTCCCATGAAGAAAAGTCTTTGCTCCATGTTAACCCCTGCAACAAAGCAAAGTTTTCAGAGTTTGAAGTCAGGCACATTTATTTACAGTTGGGAAGATTTTCATACAGATTCTAGAATGAATCACAGAGACTAGATGCACAAGATGTGATAATTATTTCTTTGCTTCAGTCTTGCCAGTTAATTGGAATAAGCGTGCTTGGTATGTGCTTGGTGGAGAGACAGAAAGCGAGAAATCACCCCCCAGGGGGATGACCATGCCACAATCCCTTCTCTTCCATTCTCCTCTCGGGATCTTGGGCACACACGCACACCCGCCTGCTGTGAGTTTAAGCCACCAGGTCCGGGACTCAAACTGCCCACGATTGACTACATGGGAGTTCAGCGACTTAGCCATTATGCTCACTGCTGGTCCCTAATTTTTTTTTTAACAGAGATTTTTTGTTATAGGGAACATGCACTTGTCAGAAAGACAGAGATGGAGAGACAGAAAGTGAGAGATCACCCCCCAGGGGGAATGGCCATGCCACAATACCCTCTCCTCCATTCTCCTCTCTAGATTTTGGGCATGCATGCATGAACATGCACCCTGTGTGAGTTTTAAGCTGCCAGGTCCAGGACTCGAACCACAGTCAACTATTTGGGAGTCCAGTGATGTAACTATTATACCATCTGCTGGTCCTTGTATGATTAATTTCTAAGAGCATGTTAACATTTTCTAAAATTTCACCTTTTTCCTCTTAATTCTCTTGCAGGTATTTCTTTAAAGCATTTTCTCTTGCGGGAGAAACTCAAGAACGAGAGAGAGTCTTAATACACTTCTCCAATAGATATTTTTATTGTAACCCCAATACCATTGCTTCACAAGGTAATCTGATGGAAGTCTTGGAATTTATTTTGTGTAACCATAGTGACTTTTCTTATTATTAAAGTTACATTCTATTGTGGAAAGTATAGAAGATGTGAATTACCTAAGATCTCTAAGTACAGAGAGATACCTACTACTAACACTGTGATTTACTTCCTGTCTATTTATGTAATATTTAATGTCAAAGTAGAATCAGCACAGTTTTCCAACTGTCTTTCCCTTTCATCATGAGCATTTTCTCCTGTCATTTAATAGTCTTTAAAAGCTTAATATTTAATGACAGCATGGTAGTCTGTGCTCTTCTTTAATTATTTTACCATGTTTCCCAGTTCTGTAATGTGACGGGTTGCTGTTTTTCTTTTTTTAATGCTCATGCTCAGTCACTCTGAGATTTCTGTGCAAAGCATATTGTAATAAGTGAAATTCCATTTTCCTTCTGGTTTCTTCATGTCTTGGTGAAGATGCATGTCTGCTGTGTCTTTGGTGCTTTTGTTTGATATTAGTTCTAGGGACCATTGACTTTCATTTATGATTTTGAAGGCCTATGAGTTTATTGTTCCTTGTACTGTTTTTACAAAGTAACTTTCCACTTTTTTGTTGTTGACCCTCCCATGAAGAAAAGTCTTTGCTCCATGTTAACCCCTGCAACAAAGCAAAGTTTTCAGAGTTTGAAGTCAGGCACATTTATTTACAGTTGGGAAGATTTTCATACAGATTCTAGAATGAATCACAGAGACTAGATGCACAAGATGTGATAATTATTTCTTTGCTTCAGTCTTGCCAGTTAATTGGAATAAGCGTGCTTGGTATGTGCTTGGTGCTCCCCACCCCTGTGCCCCAGCCTATGGCTCCTGGTAATTCACCAAATAATAATCACAGTCATATTCCAATCTGGACCAGTTATTCACTCTCTCTCATCTTCAGCACTGACTAGAGAATGAAAGAAATAGAAAAGGTTCTTTTTATTAGACTTTTCTTCAACGTTAGGATGTTGATATTTCTGAGTAAAGGAAGGAGTATGGCTTTGTGCACTGTTGATAAACTGCCTGTAGATAAGGATATCCGAGAGTTGGCGGCTGAGTTATACAAATGCTTTCAGGACTTGGTTCTAAATGTGTATAGAGTTTATAGTAGTAGACTGGAACTGGAATAAATATACTTTTTGGTACCTGGTGCCAACTTAGAGACATTGATAACAGAAATTGCTTAGTATAGTAAAAGGCGTATTTTAAGGAAATAGGCCATCCTTAATTTATGAATTCAGTAATTAGGGCTTTTATTCATTTAGCTTAAATTTAAAAATTGTTTACCACATATGGAATTGCTATTGTTTACTATATGTGGATTCAGACTTTAGAGAGAATAAGAAAAACTAATTTTGGTGTTTGAAAATGAGAAATTTAACTCTTTATGCTTTCTCTTTTTCTTTATAAAGTAAAAATTATGTTTTTATTTAAGTACGAAAT